CAAAGCTAGCCTGTAAAAACTGGATTTAGTTTACACACGTGGCAAATCATAGAAACATAGATAGACACATAATTTGGCTGATTGAGATCACTAGTTTTTACATAGATTCCACGAGCCGCTGAGTTTTATACAGGTGCTTCAATGGATTCCATGAAAGGACAGAAGGATTAGAGAAGTAAAAGTATAAATATGCAATTCACCCTCCAGACTGTTCTCTCACATTTTTTTAACTCTGAGAAGGAAATAAAGAAGAAAAATAAGAAAAAGGAAGGAAGGAAGGAAGGAAGGAAGGAAAAAAGGAAGCAAGGGAAGAGGAAAAGAAGAAAGGAGAAAATGAAAGGTATAGAAAGAATCTAGAATCTCTGGTACTGATTTCAAATGATTAATACCTACTTCAGTGAGGGAGTCTCACATAATTTATCTGAAAGAGGGGAAAAATGTATGGTAAACTGATACTTAAATTTGAATGATGTACACTTTTGACATCCTCCATGTCCTCTGCTTTTCCCCTTAGGATGGACAAAGTCTCCAAAATGCAAATCTAGCCAAGTAAAATGCTAACTTGAATTCACAAATGCTCCTCATAGTGGCATTCAGGAGGCATTTCCTCCATCTCCAATTGACCCATTAGCATATCCTAATGGTGGATCCTAATGTAAATTACTCCTTTCCTCCTTAAATTCCTACTTCCAAACAACATCCTCACTCCCAAACACACACACACACTCACTCACTCACTCACTCACTCACTGACAGACCTTGCACTGTTTAATCTCTCTCTCCCTCTGTCTCTGCTCCTCCCCCACCCATGCTGTCACTGTCTCTCTCAAAAAAAGTAAATTTCATAAAAGTTGAAAAAAAAAAAACAAAACCCTTCAATCATGTCCACAGTCTATATATAAAATATCCAGACTTTTAAGCATGGAATTCAAGATCCTCTGCATCACAATCCAAATACTATTTCATGATTATGTTCCATTACTTTTTCTCTTACCACCTAGACTATGGGTCACTTTACATAAAAAATTCGATATTGGTTTTTAATTACTTATTTCCTCATAGTGTCCTTCAGCCTATAATTCTCTATCCTCCAGTCCATAGATATTTAAATCCTACACCCAACCCTTCAATTCCAACACAATACCATCATCTAGTTATAGTCTTAATTGGTTGTTTCATGGAGGATATCTAAGGTAGTGACTGGTGACTACCCCTCAGTATTTACTGTCCTGAATTTTACCAGGAACATTGCTGTTCAGCTAATAAAACTATACCTCTCATCTTCCCTTGAATGCAACTAAATTTGAGCCACTGGGATCTGAGCAGAAATGATGTGTACAGCTTCTCAGAATCCTCCATAAGGATGTTTGCTCTGAACTTTCTTTACCCTCTCCAAATTTTAGGAGACGGTGATGACTAGAGATGAATTAGAAGCCCTATGTTGAGAATGACAGGGCTGTGCCACCAGACTTGAATGTACTCCTCTGGACTGTGAAGTAAGAGTTATAAAATGCTTTCTGACTCAAAGCACTGTGTTTTGGTTATCTTTGTAAAAGAAGCTTAACCTGTATTTGAATGACTCAGGTTACTCTCTCTTTTCTTCATATCTAAAACACTAAGAGCTTCAAGTTATACCCACATAGCCTGACTTCACTACAAATTAATGCATGCATATCTCCCTTCTTCTATTAGATTGTAAATGCATACATTCAAATACAGTTTCTGATTTATCCTGTGTCTCCTACAATATCTAGCACATGATTTCAAACCTGGTTAGCATTTAAAGCATTTTAAATTGTTCTGATGCTCTATTTCTCCTCCCTTTCCCACTGTTTTATCCCCTTAGGATGGACCCACTGTCTTTTTTTTTTAAGATCTTTTAACTATTTTGCAGGTTCGAATAAAACTATTATTGAATACCAACTCTATGATACCTTCCTTTTAACTTCTGTGACATGCATTTCTCTTCTCTACCCTATGTGCCACTAATGGGAGAGCCCCTTTGGCTAAGTCTTGGCTCTCAGATTCTTCCTACCTTTTTGATGACCTAACACACTCATGGCTTTAGCTTTAGCCGATCATTTCAAAACGCTCTCAACTTATACCATCAATAGTTACTCGAAGTCTTTCCATCCATCTTTGTATATTCCTACTTGGGCAGCTCACTATTACCTCATACTTCAAAGGCTTTAACACTGAACTTGACAACTTCTCTCATACTAGCTCTCCTTCCCATAGTCTCTGTTTCTGAAATATTATGGTGCTTCTTTGAGTTCTTAAGTCTTAAGGTTGGTTTCCACCTTCTTTTAATCTCCTTCCTTAAATACAAACAAATATGATATGCTTAAGCCATATCAACTTTTGTGTTATATGCTTCTTTGCTTTATCCTGTCAAATTCAAGTGTGCTTTCATTTCAGTTCTGAATCATGGATTTTCAAAAGCAATTCCTACTCAGTTCCCCTTTCTCCATTTTGTCTTGCAAATCATCTTCATAGTTTTGCACTATGTAACTTCCCCTCTCTAGAATCAGTCAATTTCTATTAGCTATTGAATGCTTTTAACATTCTATGTTTCTGAATTTCCAAATCCTACATAATATGACTCAGTATTTTTAACCTTATTCAGACTCTTATGTAGACTGGCCAATTGTTTCATTATGTCTTTGTTTATGCTGTTCCTCAGTGGAAAGTCATCTCTTCAGCTATTTCACCCAGCTAGCTACTATCCTATGCCTTTCTGAAATTCCATAGTATTTACTTTTTCTGCAAAGGTTGCTTGTTTCAAATCCCTATATATTATCTACTCCCTTATGCTCGAAAGGAATATTTATTGATATTTTATGTACCAATTTTGTATTCCCAAAGTTTTATGAGGTCATTGAGAGATGGAATTTTTATTAACTTTATTATCATTATTAATATATTTGTATTACCTCCATGCCTATAAATGGCATAATAAAATGACCACAGGTTTGGGGACTAGAAGACTTGAGTTCCAGCTACAAGTATGTTTTGTCCTTGGTGACAAATTGCTGATCTAATTCTGGATTTTTTTAAGTCACTTTCCACTTCAGCCATGTTCAACTGTTCACTATTACTTAAATGAGCTATATATACTTTGCCAGCATAGGTGATCAGGCCAGGATAGTACTAATACAG